GTCATTAATTAGTAGATTAAACGGCACTTCAAAATTCATACCATCGAATATTTCCTCTTACATCAACCCCAAAATTGTACGTACACTCATTATTATTGTTAAATCTTTAACTTTACTTGTTATACAGCAAAACATCAAATTGTTACATACAAGTTAAGTGGATAATGTAGCCATTCTTCGTGTAAATTGGCTAACATTCATTGTAAGGCCACAGAGATTAGATTCCAACAAACATGAAATTCTACAAGTAACTAATTAACTAATTCTTCATCTAAATTTCCTAACTTTCTGATTCCAAACAACATCAAATTGTTACATAGAAGCTAATTGGATAATCATCTAATTTCTAGTGTCAATTGCCTAATTTTCCTTATGAGGCCACTACAGGCTAGATTCCAACAAACATGAAATTTTGTAATACAGGTGCTTAATTGACTAATTCTTCATGCAAATTTCTTAACTTTCTGATTCCAACCAACATCAAACTGTTATATAGAAGCTAATTAGATAATCATCTCATTCCTAGTGTCAATTGCTTAATTTTCCTTGTGAGGCCACTACAGCCCAAATTCCAACAAACATCAAATTTAGTAATGCAAGTGGTTAATTTACTGATTCTTCATGTAAATTTCTTAACTTTCACAGTCCAACAAACATCAAACTATTACACAAAAGCCAAGTGGAAATTCAGTTAATTCCTGGTGTCAATTGCCTAATTTTCCTTAGGAGGCCACTACAGATGAGATTCCAACAAACTTGAAATTCTACAGTATAGGAGGTTAATTGACTAATTCTACATGTCAATTGCCTAACTTTCATAGTCCAACACACAAGAAACCGTTGCACATGATATAAGTAGATTATCAGCCAATTCCCGGTGTCAATTGCCTAATTTTGCTTGTAAGGCCACTACAAATCAGATTTCAACAAACATAGTGGGTAATTTATTGATTCTTCATGTAAGTTGCCTAACTTTCACATTTCAACAAACATGAAATCGTTACACATTAGTGAAGTGGATAATCAACTAGTTGTTGGTGTCAATTGCCTAATTTTCCTTGTGAGACCACTAGAGATCAGGTCCCAACAAACATGAATTTTTGTAATGCATGTGGTTAATTTACTGATTCTTGATAGATTCTAGTAAACATGAAACCATTACACATCAGCTAAATGGATAATCCTCTAATTCCTGGTGTCAATTGCCTAATTTGCTTGTAAGGCCACTACAGATCACATTCCAACAAATATAGTGGGTAATTTACTGATTCTTCATGTAAATTGCCTGACTTGATAGATTCTAGCAAACATGAAACCGTTACACATAAGCTAAATGGATAATCCCCTAATTCCTGGTGTCAATTACCTAATTTTGCTTGTGAGGCCACTACAAATCAAATTCCAACAAACATAGTGGGTGATTTACTGATTCTTCATGTAAATTGCCTAACTTTCACATTCCAACAAACACGAAACCGTTACACATTAGTAAAGTAGATAATCAACTAGTTGTTGGTGTCAATTGCCTAATTTTCCTTGTGAGACCACTACAGATCAGATCCCGACGAACATGAATTTCTATAATACACATGGTTAATTCACTGATTTTTCATGTGAATTGCCTAACTTGACAAACTCTAGCAAACATGAAACCGTTGCACATCAGCTAAGTGGATAATCTCCTAATTCCTAATGTCAATTGCCTAATTTTTGCTTGTGAGGCCACTACAGATCAGATTCCAACAAACATAGTGGGTAATTTACTAATTCTTCATGTAAATTATCTAAGTTTCACATTCCAGCATACAGGAAGTTGTTACATACAAGTGGTTATTCAACTAATTTTTCGTGTCAATTGACTAACTATCATTGTTAGCCCACTAGATGTCACAATCCAGCAATCAAGGGGATAAACCAAAGAAAACAAACTCATTTGCCTAATCCATACAAGAATATTTGCCCCTCCCAATTTTTTTTAATTCCTGCAAAATGCCTACAAACAGTATAGCAATACAATTAACTACTAATACTAATTTTTTTTCTTCATAATAAATTTCATACTTAGCTCCCACACAAACTCTTAAGGCTACACTCATAAGCCTTCTCTCACTAAATCAGAAGGATTTGCTAAAGGGCAAAAGGAGTGACGGCCGAACACTATGTGACATGTTGGTAACCATTCCTCGGTTAAAACCCAAATTTCATTACCAAACACACCCACCTTTCAGTAGGTCATTCTTTTTTAATCTACCATGAAAACAAAATCAAAGAAATTTACTGCATTCAATGTGGACCGCAAAGCTTACCAGAGGAAATCAGTGACTTCTTCTCGCCTTGCTTCTTCCTTCTTTGTTGATAGCCTTGCAAGTTTCCTCCTTTGTCTACCTCCTCTTGTTCTTCTTCTAGTTGTATTGACTACCACGAACCCACAGAATGAAGGTGACGGAATTTTTGGGTTTAGCATCCCAACTTTTCACAGATTACGAAAGCCAAGAATCCTATCACAGTAGTAGCACATTCGCAAGCGGGAGAGGGCAGATTTTTCTCAGACTGGTAGCACGTTGGCAATCTGGGAGAGGCAAGAGTTTTCGCAAAGTGGTTGCACATTCGTAGAGAGGGAGAGGGAAGAGTTTTCGCATAGTGGGATCACATTCGCATGGAGATAGAGGGAAGACTTTTTGACCTTTGTTTTTTGGCCCTTATTTTCAAATTTCAGGGGGAAGTATTATGAGGGGCAACAACATCATTTCATTTGTGGAATTAATATCAGTTTAGGCCTTTGGTCATACAGTGAAGTTTCAGAAAATTTTGGAAGCCCTTTGAAATTAATTATGTACTACAGTCCTTAAACAAAATTTTCCCTAAAACAATTTCAATAGTCTCGTTCGTGAAGAAAGAGGAACCTTGAAAGTCAACTAATAATGCAATTTCTTTAATATCATTTGACTTTCCAAAGAGACTAAAGACTTGTGACTTCTGAGTGTGATTGACAAAAAGGAAAAAAAGACCTATGTGTGGCTAAGAGAGAGAGAGAGCTTTCCATGTGACTATTAGAACAAGACTTCAAAGAATCCTTAAAAAAAATTAAATTACTAAATCTCAAATAAAATTTTTATCAAAATATATTATTATTTATAAATTTAGTATTATCACAACCTATTAAAATGTTGTCATTAAATCTAATTTAGGATTTAATAATTTTAAACTTCGTTTTATGTGATTTCTTCTAGATTTTTGCATCCCTTTAAATACGTAACTATTTTCTGTGAAGTTACGTATTATTGTAAAAGAATTTCAATTTTGAATTCTATTGTTATATTATTGCTTCAACACTATAATTTTGAATTCATTTGACATGTGTATATATAGTTTGTAGTACAAACAAGGTCTTATAATTAGGATATGAGATAGTATGTATATTACACATGTCATGTGATATTTAATTATTTGACCTCTTCTTATAAATATAAATGAGGTGCTATTATATTTTGACTTAAGACTTAATTCAAGTGATACAGATAAAATGCATTATAAGTAATAATCAAAGTTCAAAGTCAAACTCTCGCTATGCAAGAAATATTATAACAGACTGGTATATTTTTATATTTCAAATCTTAATACTACCTCCAGTTCTAAATATAAGAACTAGTTAGTTATCCTAAATATAAGATTTTAATCTATTTTGTCTCCCAAATTTATAATGTAATCTCAAAAATATCCCTATTAATTGTAAGGTATTTCCACCCAAATGTAGTTTCAATGCAGATGATTGAATAAAGGTAATTTAAGGAAGTCAACATATATTTGTTACAAATAACTGACTTAACTAATTTTTTTAATTCCCCAAATTAGTTATGCAGTTTTTATATTAAGAACCGAAGATAAATTAGGACGTCAAACATTATAACATTTAATTTGCTATGCCTGTATTTATGATGGCAACATGTCACAAATGTAATTTCTGTGAAAATGAATGAAAACAAATAGTATGTGATGAGATACTTATACAATTTTTTGGTGTAATTGAGAGTACCTAGTCTTTATTAATCCAAATTCAAGTATGGTTGAGTTTAAATAAAGACAACTCTTTTAACATGTTTTTAAATCCAATATTCATACCCTTTTAATGGTGGTAAACAAACTATTCCCTCATTTACTTAATGTAAGATTTATTTAACTAATTTGAGTGACCAAAAAAATAAAATAAAATATAACTAATTATAATAAATGTGACTTGTTCTTATTAAGATACCTTAGTATAACATCCTATAAACTAGTAATTAATATCCCCTATGTTAATCAGTATGCACTCCTCGGTTTTAAATATAAAAACTAGTAAAAGAATTTGTTTTGGCTCTAAGATATAAAATTCCAATTTCTTTTGACTTTTAAATTTATATTTTGTTCTTTAAATCATTCTAGGTTATTGAACCAGTTTTCATAAGGGGCAATTTGCAATACGTATGATTAAAAGAGTATTTTAAAAAATCAATACACATTTTTCACAAAACTAATTTAATTAACTTTTCTAAATTTCTGCAAATCAGACACCTAGCTTTCATCTTCATTTAGAAGCAGTAAAGTTATGTACGTTTATTTTCATTCTGAACATTGACGAAAAGGGTCATCAAGTACGAACATAACTTCACATATGGCTAACACACACAAACATAAGGAGGTTTTTCATTCAAAGCTTGTGTCTCACTTCATAGACTCGTAATCTTTGGTTCTTTTGCATTTCAAGTTAAGACTTTTGAAGCATGGAATTCAATTTTTTTCAGTTTTTCTTCCATGCATTCTGAAATTTCCGTAGCACCGAACTTCTCAATAACCACATAGTAGTATTAAGAGAAAAGACCACAAGGTTTTGATGACTTCCAAAGAAATTTACGCATCAACATATGAGCTTAATATAAAAGGACTGAGTCCCTAAGGCAAAATCCATCTTCATCTTCCTCACTTTTATCACTTGTAGAAAGTGTCTCTAATATTTATGCACCATGAGGTCCATCTTATGGATTTTCTTATTACCCTTCTGCTTCATAAACCTTAGCATCAATGTCTTTGTTGTGACTAGCCATTGTCTTAGCCATCAAAAATCTGTTTTGCTTCATCTGAGAAGAAACCTTATATTCAACCCTTCTGAGTCGAAAAAATTGGTTCATTGGAACCAAAGTCATGATTTTTGTCAATGGAATGGAGTAAAATGTGATAAGGGACATGTTATAGCTCTTGATCTAAGTGGAGAATCCATCTCTGGTGGACTTAATGACAGTTCCAATGGCATCTTCAACCTGCAATTTCTGCAAAATTTGAACTTGGCTCATAACAAGTTTCATTCCTTGGTTCCTTTAAAGCTGCACAAGTTGAGAAATTTGAGATATCTGAATTTGTCAAATGCCGGCTTTGAGGGTCAGATACCAGTTGAGATATCTTATCTAGCAAAGCTCGTTTTTCTTGATCTTTCTACCTCACTTCACACACTTAAACTTGAGGAGCCAAATGTCACAATGCTTTTACAGAAGTTCACAGAACTCAAAGAGCTATATCTTGATGGTGTGAGGATGTTTGCTCAAGGGAAAGAGTGGGGCCAGGCACTATCCACATTGCAAAATCTTCAAATTGTGAGTATGTCATCTTGTAATCTCTTTGGCCCTATTGATTATTCAATTGCAAAGCTTCGATCTTTATTAGTTCTTCGGCTGGACAATAATAATATAGCAAGCTCAGTGCCAAAGACTCTTGTGGGATTGACCAACTTGACCACCTTGCAACTTAGAAATTGCAACTTGAGTGGAGTGTTCCCAGAACAGGTCTTCCAAATGCCAAACCTGCAAGTCCTTGATGTGTCAGATAATCAAGATCTTCAAGGTTCTTTACCAAAATTCCAACATCACAGATTTCTCCATAGTATGAACCTTAGCAATACGAAGTTCTTAGGGCAACTACCTAGTTCTATTCACAATTTGAGGAATTTGTCTGCATTAGACCTGTCAAACTCCAAATTCAATGGAACACTTCCTTGTTCAATCTCCAAAACAACCTCACTTGTTTATCTAGACTTGTCATTCAATAATTTCACTGGCTCTATTCCATCTTTCAATTTGTCCAAGAGCCTCACATATCTATCCCTATATCACAATGACTTGAAGGGTCAAGTTCCATCATTTCATTTCACAGGCCTTGAAGATCTGATCACCATTGATTTGGGTGATAATTTATTCAATGGGAGAGTTCCATCATCTCTTTTCACACTTCGATCATTGCGTGAACTGATTCTCTCTAACAATAGATTTGAGGGTCTTCTAGATGAATTTCCAAATGCTTCTTCCTCCCCATTAGAGATCCTTGATGTCAGTGGAAATAATTTACAAGGGTCTGTTCCTGTGTCTATCTTTCACCTCAAAAGACTCACTTTGCTCCAGCTTTCTTCAAATAAGTTCAATGGAACTATAGATTTGGGTATGATGAGAAGCATGGAAAATTTGGCTACACTAGATCTGGCTAACAACAATTTCTTGGTTGATACAACTTTGGTGAACAACCACAATCTGTCATCACTCCCCAAATTGAACAATTTCATGTTGGGTTCTTGCCAATTGAAAGAGTTTCCTAGTTTTTTGAGAAATCAATCCAATTTGGTGTACCTTGACTTATCTAGCAACCAAATTCGAGGAACAATACCCAATTGGATTTGGAGGTTTGATTTCATGGTCTTTCTTAATCTTTCCAACAATTTTCTCACAAATTTGGAAGGTCCTTTTCACAATTTTACTTCTAATTTGTTTTTTCTTGATCTCCACTCCAACCAACTCAAAGGCCACCCTCCTATTTTTCCAAAAAATGGGATCTATTTGGATTACTCAAGCAATAGATTTAGCTCTATTGCCCCACCAGACATTGGCAACTATCTCCCTTTCACATATTTTCTCTCTTTATCAAACAACAGTTTTCATGGAAGAATCCATGAATCCCTATGTAACATGTCAGCTCTTCGTGTGCTTGATCTTTCTGACAACAACTTCAATGAAACCATTCCTGAGTGTTTGACAAGAATGAGTAACACACTTAGGGTGTTAAATCTAGCTGGAAACAACCTCAAAGGCCAAGTTTCTAATACATTTTCAGCTTTTTGTGCCCTTCGATTCCTGGATCTCAATGAAAATTTCTTAAGTGGTACAATCCCAAAGTCATTGGCTAATTGCCAAAAACTACAAGTCTTAAACCTAGGAAACAATCAATTGACTGATAGATTTCCGTGTTTCTTGGGGAATGTATCCACTTTGAGAATCATGATTCTGAGGTCAAACAAATTTTATGGGACACTTAAATGTCCAAATAGCATTGGAAAGTGGGAGACACTTCAAATTGTTGACCTAGCCTCAAATAATTTAAATGGTAATCTACCTATAGCGCTCCTGCAAAGTTGGAAAGCATTGATGAGACCAGCTGAAGATGAAAGTGGCACAAAATTTGGTCAGTTGTCTGTTGACATCTATGACAACGCTAATGCTGTGGACTTAAAAAATGCATTATCAATTGTGAACAAAGATCTTGCACCAAAAATGGCTGAATTGATAGCAGTAGAACCGCCCTTTGTGACTAGCCACTTATTCTCTTATTTTAATGCGTATGATTTCAGTTGTCGAAGTTACCTAGATTCGGTGACAATTGTCAACAAAGGAAGACAACTAAAGTTGGTTAAGATTCTTACTGCCTTCACATCTTTGGATTTCTCATCCAACCATTTTGAAGGGCCAATACCAAAAGAGCTAATTAATTTCAAAGCACTTCATGCTCTTAATTTGTCACAAAATGCTTTTTCAGGTGATATCCCTTCATCTATAGGGAATTTGAAGTATCTTGAGTCCTTAGATTTGTCTTCGAACTCTTTTAGAGGGGACATACCAACAGAGCTTGCAAGTTTGTATTTCCTTGAATTTTTGAACCTCTCTCACAATCATTTGACTGGGAAAATCCCAACAGGGACTCAAATTCAGTCATTTGAAGCATATTGTTTCGAAGGCAATGAAGCCTTATGTGGACCTCCAATCACACAGAGTTGTAGTTTGGGTGAGATTCCAGGTTTGCAAAGACCATCTTCAAAAATAGCTGAATCAAATGATGGGAACTCCATTGATTGGAATTTTTTGAGTGCTGAATTGGGATTTACTTTTGGCCTTGGCATCATTATCCTTCCTCTCATATTCTATCAACAATGGAGGTTGCAATACTTCAAATATGCAGACTACATACTTTGGAAGATCATCCCTCAGCTTGATTTTGTATATGAACATCATGGAGGGAAAACTTACAGAAGCTTAAGATGGAAACCATGTTAATTTCTGTCAAATAAAGAAGAAAAAGCTTGCAATTCATTCCCCTCGGGAGGCGCCCCAGGAATAAAAACAAAAGAAAGAAAAAAGAAAAAACTAGGAAGAGATGAATAAAATCAATAGGAAGTGAATCATGGTTTTCTTTCTATCACGTATTTCTACATAGTCTTATTGTCTTAATAGAGTTCAAATGTTAGACATACAATAACAGTGCAAAGGAAAATAAAGGGTTGATAGAGTAGTTCTTACTTTTACTATTATTGTTCAAGGTTAATTTGAATTTTCTTTTCTCCAAAAGTTAACTTTAATATAATGATGTTCCCATTTTTAAGAGCAAATTTAACTTAGAAATGAAAGGTGATAAATTTTTGAAATTGTAACATATAGAGTTCCCATTTCTTTTATAAAGTTATTTACATCAAGCAGTCTGCTGGATGCACTATAATAAGATTAGGATGCTGGATATTATTTTACCTTTAAATGAATAAACAACCGCATAATCAATCATCCAGGCATTATTTTGGGACCCCATGCAATTCCCCCCCCCCCCCGGCCTTTCAATTTTCTCTCAACCGCGTAGAAGTGCCATCAATCATCCAGGCATTATTTCCATCGAATCAAATTAGGACAGTTTATTGGAGAAAGCTGGGGAATCCAACAATGGCGCCGAAGGCTTTTGAGCATTTCAGAAAAAGACTACGATAAGGAAAGGCACTACTAACATAGAATCAAAATTAAAAAGTAAAAGAACAATGCTCTGATTTTTTATTTAACTGACACAACTCTACTTCAAAGACGACAAAAAAAAAAGAGTATATTTTTCTGCTGAAAATTAAGATTCAGGGCGTGCTCAATGGTTATAAACTATGCGCAGGCTCCTTAAATTTTATTATGCTTGGCCTCTCTGTAATTTTACGATCCTGGTGTTACTTTTGCTTGCTTGACCTGTCTCCCTGTAGTACTGTACAGTTTTACTTGAATAAAATACACACTTTCATACCAAAAACAGAAAAGAAAAAGAAAGATGAGGATCTTTTGGGGCACCAAAAGCAACACCCATCTCTCTGTTGCCACCTTTTCCTTTTATCATTAAATTACAAGGAATCCACTGTGTGTAAAATAGAGGTTGGGGAAAAGTGTTCATGTGCTGTTTCTAAACAAGATAAAGTACCTAAAATTAATGTAAATAGTACAATAACATGATTACTCTTGCATTCTAAATAACTCTAGAGTATGTTTAATTCCATATATTCTAGAAAAAATTATTAAGAAATTTCAAGAAAAAAATTTAATGACGAAAAAATCTCAATAATAAGTAATCAACTTAAATCTATTGTCATTCTTTTCTTTAAAACTTGTCATTGCTTGTTCTTCATTTGTCAATGAATTTTAAGGTAGCTAAATACCTTTCTCGAAACCTGAATGCAAAGCCATCATGTTCATTTGTTATATTTGGACCTAATTTCAGCAAAACATGACGCTCTGTAATTAACAATCCAGGTTTTTTCCAATGGAACACGATTTAATTAAAATCCCAGTGATTCAATTTTAGCAGCCGTGTAACCTAAAAGTCGTGTCACAATCAAGTGCCTCGTTCTGCACTGAGCTTAAAACCGACCTGAGGAGGGCATAGATGTGGGCATTGTGGCTGAGAAGAGAACCAAGCATAGTATTAACTAGAATAACAAATGTTTACAATTAACTCATCTCTTTCTATTCCCATGTCAAAAGAATTGTAGTTGATGTGAAGCGGCCCGCTCGGGCTTTTTGAACAGTTTACTTAGCAGCATAATCATCCCCTCTGATCCTTATAATTTACAAAAAAAAAATCATTCACAATACCTAACTTTCAATGTACACACAAAATCTTGCACTACAAGTCAAGTGCAAACCTAATATGCTACATTGTGTCTTCCTCTTCCCCGTTGTCATTTCTTTTTCCCAAGAACCAGTCCACTGGTAGAACCCGAATGGCTAGATAATTAAGTGAATAAAAAAAAAGCTGAAATATAATCTAGTAGAGGGTTGAGGCAAGAATCTCACTCTCTACTCACTAATAGCCGGGATAAAATCTACTAAAATTTACTTAAGCAAGGATCTCACTTAACTAGATTTAGTAGCCAAAAGGAGAATCTCCAAATTACTGAACAAATATTTATTTCTCTCATATGTTAGCTTATAGGATGGCTAACATATTTATAATGCAGAAATTACAATTGAATAAATATAAGAATTAAGTAAATATCCCTAATATCTTGGAAATAACAGAAAGAGACGTTGGTGGACCTCTAACAACCTAAAGTCCCCTTATTCAATTAATAAATCATTAATAAAATCAATAAAACCTAAAAGACTCATTCAACTCTCCTAAAAAGATGCAAGCAGACTCAACCACTACTCCAGTCTCCCTATTTCTTCTCTGGTGCGTTAATGTGCTGACTTGGAGTCCTATCATCCACACATGAGCTAAGTGAATGAGAGCACTCCATAAACATATAAAGACAAAACAAGCATAATCCTGCAATAAAGGACATAAATCTCAGCTAAACCATAAATTCAAATCTGCAATTTGTGCAGAAAAGATTTACCATCGGTAGAAAGAATAAAATGAGCCAAAAATATAGAACTAGAACAAAAATCTTCCTCCCCCAAAGGTTCCAGGCATTTTTCTAACACTCCATTTTAAGGATTTGGAATTCAAAATTGACAGCATATCAACGTGTTATAGCTCTAGTTAATTGGCTCTTTTGACATATAATTATTCATAATTGGCTCCAGTTTTCATCTCTGCATCAAAAAAGATACATCCAACAATTTGCAACTGTACAACAGCATTGCCAAGGTTGACGCCAAACAGCTGGGGACTAGAAAAGCAGAGAAAATCTAGAACTCAAAATCATTACACTATTTCAGGAGAAAAAGGTCAAAAGAAAAAATTAATTACTGTGGTAGCTCAAAAGAAGGAACAAGATAAGTGGATATTAAGGTGACATACCAGCATAGGCAACTGTTGCACCCAGAGCCAATCTTCCTAAAGCAGATAATACATAAAGGCAAAAAAATCACCTGAAATAAGATGTACATAAACCATTAGTTCTTTTACATGCCTCTTCATCAAAAGCAAAATCAAATGTATGACAGCTACTATGGGATTATAACTGTCAAAAATGAACCAGTGCTTTCCGGAATCTAAGCACACAAATAGTCCAATACTTTGAGAGAATGGCAGGGTGAATGAATTCTTATTCAATGATCAAACAACCTTGAATGTTGGCAGAGGATGTTAACAGATTGCGAATGAATGGAAAACATATTAACATGCAGTCAAGATAAGCAAAAGATGAATAAATTGCAAAACTAATGACATTCCATCAGATGCAATGGTCAGTTGCCTCACAATCTTCTCAAAGGCACGTCCCACGTCCATAACCATGAGCCAATAGTGGCTCATCTTCATTTGCTCCAATAACTTCGCATTCAACATCCATAGTTTCATGCCTTGGCAAAACTTGAATTCAAATAGGTCATGCTCATGTGTTTCTCTTATATAAACATTAAATAAAGACTCATGAGACATAAAACAAAAAGGAAAGGCCACAATTTCTGGAGATTGAATTGATGTTTTGTACTAAGTGAAAATAGATTTAAGTTGCATAAACTAAATAATACCTTTAGAAACAGTCTCTTGTCATGCCCTGCTGCTGCGACTCTTAATACAGACTCGGCTGCACCTATGGTATTAACGAACCACGCAACAATGCTATTAGCAGTGTCCCGAGTTATCTGCCATTCAAGTGGATCGACTGGGAACCTAAAACAGTTTTTCAGAAGGGGACAGGGTGTATTAGATAAGTTGAAAATATGAAGGCAATTTGCAAATGAAGAACACACATCTTCCTTCTGCATCTAAGCGTGAATCTGATGAAAAAGAAGACTAAAGACATAAGCATGACAGAGACAATACTAAAAATACACTTCTTATGAAATCATAGCAGATGTCCAAGCCGCCAACCAAGGCGATCATTCAAAATTTTAAAAATTCAAAAATCGAAAGGACCAAATAATTTTGTTCTAACTGATTATGCTAGCAATTAGTATTGAGAAATAGGAAATGCCGTCATCCATGTTTAAGGCAACTAAGAACTAAGACTAAATTGTGTCCGAAATATCGTTTTATACAGAAAAGCAGACTGAAAAAGAAAAGAAAAGGAAGAAAAAGAACCCTAATTGGATGGTCTTATTTGAAAAATTAAGCGACAACGAGAAGATGAAGGAAAAAGAACAAACTTGGGTGATTACGATATGTTCATCAGACGGAAGAGAAGGCCGAGAATGGCGAGGGAGCAGAGGAGAACGATTCATCGGAGACCAAAGAAACAAGGATAGAATTCCGGCAGGCACAGTGATAGTATAACAGGGTGCCGCGTAACAACAGCATCATCGGCTTCCCTACTTCGCCCCTTCTGCTCTTCATAATTCTCGCGACCAGACAACCGATCTCCCTCGTACCACGTCCCTACATAGACAAATGGAAATCAGCGAACCTGCCTTCCAAGTTTTCCTTTGGACTTCTCCTTCAAGTTTCAACTAATTCCAGTACTTCGCCCTATCTTGAATTTAAAACCTAAAATTTAAAATAGGGGAAATTGCAAAAAAAGCCCTAAAATTGAAAAAATACAGATAAAGACATGTGATAATTTCACTTTGAGTTTTCAATTCCATACTAAGGGTCTAGGATTGGAGAAGTATTTAAAATTTTAGGAGCTAAAACAAAAACAAAATTTCAGGAACTGAAACAAAAATAATATCTAATTTCATGGACTAAAACTAATATTAATTCAAAATTTATAAAACAAAGCTTTATGAGAGTTTGGCAATCTTTAGAATCACTCCAAAAAACAATATTATCATACAAACCAAGACAAAACATCTCTTCAGATCAAAAAAAAAAAAAGACAAAACATCTCTCATATACATATTTTGTGTATGGTAAAATTACTTTTAAA